TCAAGCTGCTCTCATACCTCAGTCCACAAGTGGAGCTCGCAGTGCCGATGTGAGCACCAGGCCTGGGGAACTGTTCCCTTTCTGCCCCCAGGTCAGTGCTCCCTACATCAGACTTTGCTCTGTGCTCAAATCTCTGCGTGGGTGCACAGAGCTGCCTGTAGTCTTCCTCCCTGAGCCTATGTTAGAAACAATAGCCGCTCAGGTAGACTATGAGGCAAACTGGGGACTGATCCAGCTGAAAACTCAGCCAGCCCCTTTCTCTGTTTCCCCTTAGAGTCTTACTGGCTTTCCTACGAAGGCCTGGTAGGGGTTACAGGTAGTTCTCTGATCTGACCTTCTGTGTAAGGAGTGATATAAACAAAAAAGAAAAAAGCAGCCTGTACTTGCACCAACTTATTATTGATAAATTGCATTGTCAGACATGCCAGCTGTGTATAACTAATGACAAACTGCACAAACTCAACATCTCCAGTCTATGAACAGGAATCAGTCCTTCCTCCAGAAGACTGGAACAGCAGCATTCAGAGGAGACCTCCTCTGTTCTGCAGTGTCCTCGCACTTCTCTGAGTGAGTAGAATTTGGTGTGTTGAGCACAAGTTGCAGTGTTCTACCATTCTCTGTTGCACATGGTAAAATGTTTGAATCTGCACTACTTAGAAATAATTCAATTAATTGGTTAAACTTCATCTCTAATTTTGATGTAGATAACCATTTTTACTTCAGGAATTATTTAATTGCATGATTGAGAGAGAGCCACAGGAATGTGAGGGCCAATCCAATCATATCTTTGAAATCTTTTTCATTATTTATATGCATTTTAAACATCAAGGGCCATTTTAAAAAATGCTATAGGTTTCCTTGAAAGTCTTTTTTTCCCGAATGCTTTGTTCTACTATGGAACAGTAGTGTCAGCCTGGTTAGATTAGAGTTGAAGATTTACTTCTAATTCTTTGTTCAGTTATCAATTAAAATTCCATTTTCTCCTGCCATCAGTCTGGCAATCATCCTATCCCTCTAGCACCAAGTTAAAACCCCTCTATGCTAAAATGCTCATTCAGCAGGCGTACTTCTCCAGCATTTCATCTGTTTAAGCTCATCATCTCCAGGCCACATTCTCAGATCGCAGTAGAAGCTATGCTTGAATGTATTACATTCTGCATGGATCTATGTCATCACAAAGAACTACCTGATATGAATCTTATTTGTGGCCAGCAGTTAAGATAATGAATATTCATTTTTTGCATCAGAGTCATTGCTGATTATGTGAATCTTGACGAGAATCCCTCAGACCTGTGGAGACAGCAAGGGCGGAAAGAGATGTGGCAGAAGATAAATCTGAAGTGAGTAAGAAAGAAATGCAACCCCCAACTTTTGGGAGAGAGTATGAGTGTCAGGATGGGGTAAGGTTCTTGGCCAAACCAAGATTTTCCACATGTCAGGGAGATGTGTTTCTGATATGCAAATTTGTCATCTGGTCTTTCTAGTTCCCTGTTTAAAGCATCGTTGAAGTCAAAGTGCTTCAGCTCCGTAGTTATTATTTCAAAGAGACCGAGCTGTGTCTTTTAATTTCTAAATCCTTTGAAAAGATATGATCATTTCTAACCAAATCCTATTCCATACTTAGTTGTGGAGCAGATGAACACAGCCATCACTGTATTGCTACTTATGCCTGAAGTTTTCAAAGTCCAGCAGCTGCCATGATTTTCTGCATGTGGTCCCTGAGGCACAGTGGGAACACAAAGCAAAGCTTCCCGAGGTAGGAGAGACAAGGCTTTTGGCTTGGTAAATTTTCATTTGCTTTAAAAATGTGTTTGGAAGAAGTGAGTGTAAAAATCTATTTTGGACATTAAAGGGTTGATAAATGTGTCATTTTGCTGCATTTTCCATTGTGTCTTTAAAGGCAGCAGGAATATCTTTAGGAGAGCTTGCCCCTTGCTTGTTTCATCCAGGTATGAAGCTCTGAGCCTGCTCTGGACCATTGGGATACAGTCCCTGTTCTCTTGGCTCCCGCTCTGCCTCTAAAATTGTCTCCTCAGGAAAGTGACACTGAGTATGAAGTTACCATTCCAAAGGTGCCTGATCTAGCTGGACTGAGAAAATAATCAGTGGGTGATAGGTAATGATGATATTTGTTGGCTATTAATACAGTGACGTGGCTTTAAAAATGCATGACAGCCATGCATTTCAGCTTCTTCCTGGGGCTGAGCCCCTTTTGATGGGAGGGTGACGCAGCAGGACAGGGCTGGGTCAAGTGAACCAGGGCAGGGTACAGCAGGGAGACTGTGCCCTCCTTGCCACTAAGGGGAGATCTGGGCTTCTTCCCAGGTTTTACTGCTGCAAACAGTCTGCAAGTGCTCGCGTTGCTGAAAGCAGAGTTACAGATGCATTTTATACTCTGAGGCCCTTCCCAGCTTATTGCTCTGAGTTACTCTTAAGTGCTCGCTTCAGCTCTTGCAAAGCTGTCTGTCTCCTCTACAGGTTTTATTTTTCTGATGGAAAGCTGGAGATAACAAAAAAAAGGAAATTCTGACCCCCAGTTTTTACTTCCAGTGTAGATGAGACACATGTCAAACAATTGAGCTTGAGACACTATCAGTACAAGCTTTCCCAAGGTGGTTGTTTTCAAAAGAGCACCAACTGCTACCAGAGGACTGGAGGGGGCAACAGAGGCCATAAAACATGGCTGCCCCATTTGCTTCTTTCTCAGCTATCCTGCTCACAGAGCTCTTTACCTGCAGTAGATCAGCAACATTCTGACCAATATTTTTTTTTATGGATCCTTTCTAGACAGCTCTTTTTTTTTCTTTTTTTTTTTTCTGTTTTATTGTGCAGGCAGATATTTAGGGTAACAGCTAAACTCCTGTGTGCTGGAAGACAGAAATATTGGCTGTAACTGCAGGGCAGGTCCTGTAACCTAAGCAGCAGCAGCTGCACTCGCTGCCTGACACAGGACCCACGGACTCTTCAGCCAAAATCACTTCTTCCACACACGTGCCTCAGGAAGAAGTCCTGCTTGCCTGATCATCCCTGCTTCCGTGTTACTTCTTCACACTTGTGGCCAGACTGCGGGAAGAGGCAGCATTCTGACTCATATGCACGTGTGCATATGCAGGTGCTCCTGCCTTAGGGCTGCTGCCTCCTGTGAGAGGCAGTGTGAAGCCCAACACACCTGCATGTGAACAGTCACCCCATGATGTGCACTGAGTCAGCCAGCACCGCATCTAAAGGATTTAAAAGGAAAGGTAGTAGGCATTAGATGCCTCTGGCTTATGAAAAGCCCTGGAGGAGGCCCACCAACAGATACAAACCAACCCTTGTAGGGTTCTCATCTTTCGCTGTCAGAGAACTGCATCTGATTCTTGGTCAGCCATTGTGGGTTAAAGACTTCATCTAAAGGATTATCTGCTGCATGAATGAGCTCCAGTAACACAAAGGCTTAACCAAAACATGGATTGTATGCCAGGTTAGTGTGCAATTTCATCCTATGCATAACCCAAAATACTGGCAATAGTTGTTGGATACAAGATCTTAGCTCCACATCTGTTTTGCTCTGTTTTTGGTTACATCTGGTGAGTGTAAGGCTACTTACTGGCTGAGTCAGACCAGCTCACTGTGCTCATTACCTTCACTTTTCTAAAAATGTTTTTAAATGTGGAGGAGGAAATGTGAAAACAGGGAGGAGGTGTGAGCCCCTTTCAGCAATAGCCTATAATTAGGTAGGGTGGATTATGCGTATTTTGAATTTTCACTATTGCTTCCCTTACCCTTTTCATTAAAACGAAGGCAAAAGTAGGGTGAATGGTGTTGCAGTTCCCAGCTGTATCTCATCCACATTTACTTGCAAGGTTCTCTTGCTGTCCTTGCTCCAGAGTACTGTGCTTGCCATGAGAAACACAGTAGAGAAGAGCATGTTGGGATTTTGTTCCCAACTGAGATGCCTTTGCTGTGAATAATATCCTGAGGTATCATGCTGCTGATGTCTCATGTAACATTATAGTTTGAAAAAAATAGAGACTGGATGATAATGGAAATACTCAGGCAAGTTAAAATGTAGTTTTACTACATTTACTGCATTTACACTTACTACAATTACTGCATTTACTACAACTGTGATGAAGATAGTCCATAAGATAAAAATATACATAGGCTGCTCTGAAAGCATTGCCTCCTATTTATTTCCATGGAAAGCAAAACAGATATGAACAGCAGAAGAACATTATTTGACAGAGCAAATTTTCAGCTACAAAACACTGTTTTTCAACATAGTCACCATCGTTAGCTATGTATTTTTACCAGTGATGAACAAGAGCCTACATGTTGTGCTCGTAAAAACCTGCACCAGCAGAGATGACCCACTGTTTCATGGCTGCTATGATGACATCATAGCTAGGAAAATGTCACCTGTGAGTCCATCTCTCATCAGCCCAAACAGACGAAGTCACAAGGTGCCAAATCCAGGCTGTATTGTGAGTGTGGTAGGACAGTCCAGACAGGATCAGCAATGTGCTCCATGTTCTTCAAACTAGAATGAAGCCTGGTATTATTGTGTTGCAAGAGAAAGCTTGTCTTCTTCTCTGGCATGACTCTGGAAGTTCAAACATCAGCTTAGCCAGCACTGTGATGTAGTGCTCAGAGTAGATGGTTTGTCTGTGTTCCAGAAATTCCAAGAAGGATTACCCTTAGAATCACAGAATCACAAGGTTGGAAACAGCCTATAAGATCATCCAGTCCAACCATCTCCTCATCACCATTGCCACTACAAGCACTAAACCACATCACGCAGCACGTCATCCAGACGCCTCTTGAACTCTGCTAGGGACAGCAACTCCACCACCTCCCTGGGCAGCGATTCCAGTGCCTGACCACTCTCTGACAGAAATAGTTCTTTCTTATGTCCAACCTAAGCCTCCTCTGATACAACTTGTGGCCATTAACCCATGTCCTGTTCGTCGCCTGGGAGAAGAGGCCAAATCCCTAGAGTGCAATGAGGTCTCCCCTGAGCCTCCTCTTCTCCAGTCCCTTTTCTGTCTCAAAAGACAGTGCACATCACTTTAAATGCTGAAGGCTGCAGAGCGCACCTTTTCTTCAGTGAGGAATTCACAACACTCCGTGGATTGCAATTTTGACATCAGCTCATAGTGGTAGCACCACAGCTTGTCACTAGTAATGATGTGATCCAGGAAACTGTCACCTTCAGCCTTGTATTGGTTCAGTAGGTCCTGACAAACTTGCATAGTGTTCTTTCTGTTCCAGTGTGAGCATTCATGATACCCACCTGCTGCAAGCTTGACAGTATTCCAATATTGTCACTATTGTTTCCAACACATTTAAGATGATGTTCAGTTCTGTACACAATACTCTGGTCGAAATCCACCAGTTCACGTGGTGATTGAGATGTTCTTCATTTAGTGGTGTAACAGCTGTGCACAGCCATCTGGAACAAGGCTCGTCTTTTACGTTACTGTCGCCACTGCTGAAACACCACCCACTGCCCCACTGTGTGCTCACATCCACTGTTTGGTCTCCATCAATGTTCAGCAAGCATCAATGAATGTCAGTAGGTGCCATTTTTTCTGCATAGAGGAATTCAGTGACACCTTTGCTTCATCCACACTTCACTTTCATTTTGACAGACTGTGCCTATGCTGCCATCTGTCACATGCCAACAATACGGAAGGAAATAGTGGTGGGAAGGTTCAGCCTCTTCTGCTGTACCACCAACATCAGCTTCTGACTCTGTGGACCAACATAAGAAAGTAGACATTAATTTTGAAGCAGGCCTTCAAAACTGGATGTCCATGATCAGAAATAATATTGACTTTGGTTCCAGTGACTTACAAATCATGAGAATTCATCATGAGAATCCATAAGTAGTTGTCTAACAGGAGTGTAAACTCATATCTACCAGCTTTACTACGGATGTTGGAGGAAAGGAGACAGAGATCACACAAGTCACAACCAAGGACTCAAAACAACTCTTATGGTCAACATACTTCAGTGTGTATCACCCTCACCCCACGATTCTTATCTCAGACCTCGGTTATTTCCCAGTCTGTAGAGCATTTGAGTAGGAAGTGATGCTGTTGCACAACTATTTCCCTTCCTGGCCCCAAAATGGGTTTCATTTGTGATTCTTGGCCATTATTAGCACCAAACACTGTGCTGCAGTTTTTTAATCATTCTCTGTCTTGCAGGTCTGAAGTAGGCCAATAGCTATATACGGTGCTGGCACACAATGGACTGACTGTACCAACAGTCTGACTGTGCTTGTGAGATAGCTACATCAGCATTCAGCCTTCACAGACATTTCTAATAGGATTTCCACTGAGTATGATAAACAGCAGCATTTGGGATGCTGTCTTAGAGCATGTAGAGAGCAACGTCACCCATGGATCTTATTCTTGCTTGAAAGAAAAAGGACCTGTGCCAGTTCAGAAAGACGTTTTGCCTACACCAGAGGTATTCTCCAGGCACACCTGATGCTCAGTGAACCTGCACTGTTGAAATGCCTGAAGAATCTAGCAGCAAGCTCCCCTTGGTCTGTCTGTCCGAACTCACTTGTCCAAAGAGCCTTGCTCTATCTAGAAAATTCACATAAGGATACAGAGAAATAGGACACAGAATGCACTTAAGCAGTTAAATGCCTAAAAGATGCTAGCTAAAGGTGAGAAAATAATCAATTTTCACAAGTATTCAGTGTTATCACCAGACTGTTTCCATTAACTGAGAGGATACAGTCATAAGACAGGTGATGAGAGCTCCTGAAGGCTGGCACATGCTACAGAAAAGCTGGACTTCCCACCATCTTGGAGGAAGTGCATATTACCCTTTTTTTTTTTTTTTTTTTTAAATCAGTTCGAAAGAATTTGTAGATTTTACTCCCTTTCTATTTTTATTCTATTCCCAGTATGCATTTACCTATGCCCTTGCCATTATGTGATGCTTTAGAGCCCTTTCTGTGCAAAAGATAGCACGAATCAGTGACAAATGCTGCCTCCATCCTGCTCCCTGTCCTCAAATTTCCATTTCACTGGCAAGTGGTGAACAATACTCACCGACAGCTTTTGTGTCCTGATTCCTAGAAGAAAGCATCCTCTCAAGAACAGCCTACCAGGCCCCAGAGGCTCAGGCTGCAACCTACATGGAGTGGGGGTGGTATAAATAGCTTGCTGGAATAGCGGCAGGATAATTACATGGTGTGGAGAGATGGCCAGAGCTGCAGAATTCAGGTTCAGCTTGATTCTGAAATAAGCACTGTTTCAGTACTATTGTACTGTATTTAGTAGAATGGTATCAGGCAATTCTCAAATTGCCAGTTTCTCTCATTTGGTACAATTCAGGTTTTCTGAATCTTTTGCAGAAATTTTACAGTGGTATCAATGACTTTGTTTTATCATAGTCAGTCAGTGACTTTTACAAAAAAAAAAAAGTACCTATTGCACTCATCAGGGACCCTGCCCTCTCCGAGCTCCACTAACGAGGTACTGATGGGGACCTTGCTCCGCGTGCCATCTGGCCTTCATGAATCCCATCTTCCTAGCAAGACAGCTAGCTTCAAAAGGAGAATGCTTTCTGTTTAATTACCCTCCTCTTTAACCTGTTGACTGATTACCCTCCTCTGTGCCACGGGACTTATGAGTCCAAATGTTTTTCATCTAAATTAAGCAAGACTTGGACTGTCCTATTTACTGGGCACAGGTTCTAGTCTTTGGGCCTTCATAGCCCAGCAGGGCTGACAAGGAGTGTTGCATTGTATTACTGCTGCTCTGGTGTGCCAAGCTGGGCATGGCTTGAGTACATTGGCTCACCAAGCCCGATGGAGCTGCAGCAAAGCAGGTGCTCACCCATTGCTCCAGAGTGAAAATCACAGCAAATGCTTGCCTGAGGCCTCACTTGTGCCACCAAAGGGAGGTGCTGGTTGAGCCCAGCCACTCCATTTGGCAGCGCCAGGTCCCTGCTTGAGAGCCAGAGGCAGACAAGCTGCTTCAGCGTTACGACCTGCTGCTAGCCTGCTGGTGACGATTTGTGACTGTCACTGCTCTGTACAGATCGCTGTCAGATAGATGCATAGCATTCATAATAAAAACTCATTCTGAATCCAACTCCTAGCAACAAACTCTTACCATGCTTTTTGCTGATGCAACTGCTGAAGATTGGGCACCTCTGCCACCAGAGTTTTGTCACACAATTGAAGTCCTTCAAACCTCTAAACCTGAGGAAGAAGGTAACCATGAATGAATATAACCTCAGACGGGAGCAAACAGGCCATAGAAGGTAGAATATCCTGGGTTGGAAGGGACCCACAAAGACCACTGAGCGCAACATCAGGCTCCATGCAAGACTACCCAAAAACTAGGTCACCAGAGAATGCTGCCCCTCTGCTCCCTGTGAGGAGCTGTAGGCTGCCATGAAGCCTCCCCTCAGCCTGCTCTGAGCACACCAAGGGCCCTCAGCCACTCCACTAAGCTGTTCTTTAGAGCCTTTACTCAACATCTCAAGCCCCCAGGACTTGGCAAAAAATGAAACTACAAGCCAGGAAGCCTGAGTAAATAAGAAATTATCACAAACTTCAAGAAGTACATTAAGCCACTTCCAAAAGAAAGGCTTAAACTTCATTATCCCTGTAGGATTCGAGTGCACCACACCCAGTGGGTTGTGAATTCACTGTCTATCTTGCTAGTGAGTAGTCTCCCAGAGTAAAGATCTGAGAAATCAGCCCTTCTAATGAATGGAGTGAGATTCAAGAAGCCTACAAGGAAGATCCCCACTTGCATAGCTGAGTTGCATCACCAATAGCCCCACAGCGTTTCAAGCAGATACTGCTGAGTGTCAGACACTTTCTGTGATGGCTGACATTAAAGAAAGCCCTGAATATGTATGTTGCCCTCTCTGCTGACAGCTGAGTCTCTGATGTAGTGAAATGCGTAACATCTGCCAAAGGTGCAAGCCCTCCAAAATAAATTAGCATCTGCTTAGGATATGAGCTTGAACCCTTTGACTGGCTGAGGCCAGTTAAGAGACCAGCAAGGTAACATGGATATCCATTCTGCATTCTCAAATCCACAGAAACCTGGTAAAAGTTAAAATTCTACTGCAAGCAGGAAGACGGCAGAGGAGCCTCATGGGCATTGCCAATGTTCAGGTCCTTTGTGGCAGCATGGGACTTTAAGCAATTTACAGCAATTCCTAGGTGATCACAGGAGGAAAAAGAGCCCCAGAGGCTAGAGAGGAAAAAAGGAGAAAGAAAAAAAAAAAAAAAAGAAGGAAGGAAGGCAAAAAAAAAAATCTACATAGTGATTTCCATCAACCTCTACCAGTAAAATATAATTTCCTCTGTGCATCACTGAAAGGCTGCGAGTATCAGCAGGCTCTGCTGATGGCACTGCAGAGGGCACAACCCAGCTCTCTGCACGCCATCACTTACTGATGTCACACTCCTCTGCATCACTGAAGGATGGGGATAACTGTTAGAGAAACAAACACTGCAGTATTCAAGGTCTGATCAGCAGGAACCCCGAAGTGCAGATTTAAGCTGGTGCAGAAATGATCAGCAAAGAATGACTGCCTCTTCTCGAGTCCCTCCTCACCTGAAGTTGGAAATCTGACGCTCAAGGAGACCTTGGGATCTTGCACCCCTTTTGTCCATTGTGGGGCAGCACTGCCTTTTCCTTGCTCGAGAGATGCAGTGAGGTCCTCTAAGCAACAGGCTCCTCACATCTTCCAAGGAAACAGGCAATTCCCAGAGGTCTGCCCTTCTTCCTTCACAGAATTCATTGTTCAGGCTGTGGCTTGGGTCACAGCCCTGGCCAGTGCAGCTGCCTCCATTGACTCGTTGGGACCGCTTCCTATCAAGGAGAGGGGGAAACTCGCTGAATTTTAATCACATTTTGGCTGCCAATTCCAAGGCCAGGAAAATACTTGTTTACATGATTAGAAACAAGATGTATTGCATACACACATTCCCTTTAGCAATTAGTGCCTGAGCATAGGCAAATGACAATCTCCTGGCTGAATACAGTGCAAATCCCTTGGCTATGACATTCTGGCACTTTACCTCCAGAACCCTGGTGCTGCCACACCTGCTTCTCTGGCACTCAGAGCTAGTGCAAGGAAATTCTGGGCCGATTTCCTGTTTTGACTAGAAAAATATAATATACCGGGTAGCTAACAAGCCCTGAGCATTAAAAGCAGTTAGAAGAAAGAGGGAGCCTGTGTGCATCAGATGGAGCTATTATTTGGTTAGGGACAGCTATCCAAAAAGAGCAACTGAATGGAAGTCAGTAAGCCAGACTACTTCAGAGGAAATCAAGATCGAGTTCTTTGTGTCTGCACAGAACAGAAACCAAGGAGAGCCACAGACTGTAACACAGGCAGACCCTCAGAGACATGAATCCTGCTAGCAAATCCCTGCCAAGTCACAGTCATCTCTGCAAACAGTAGCCATGGAATTTCTAATGGGAGGGCTCAGAAATGCAAGTCACAATGCAGCTGCAGTCCAATTTCTGAATTTCACAACCTCTGACCCTCATCATAGAGCCAGGTGTGTGCTGGATCTCTGTCCTTCACTCCATGCCTCTCTTTAACACTGGGAATCAATTGCTTCAGCTTTTACTTGAGAAATATTTAATGCAACTGCCTAAAAACAAACTTTGTTAGTGATGTTGCCTCCACAGGTATCTTTCACAGATCATAAGCTATTGCACAAAATACAGCATACGTGCTTTTTAAAATTCTGCAATAACTGGCAAAACCCTCTGCTTCCTAAATCTTCCATAATAACTTGCAAGCATTTCTGGCTAACTTGCAGCAAGCTAAAAATAGGAAAAGTCAACCACTGAATTCCATATTTTGCTTTTCATTTTTTTCTTGGACATGCTGTGTCAAGTAGTTGCATTTCCCATGAGGTCAGGCCCTAGACAATAGTTTTCCAAGAGCATGGAAACAACAAACCCATGAAACAATTCCACATCCAGAATGGAGCTGCTGGCATCACTGAAAGGTCAGCCCTAAAAGCACCCTGCATTGTCTCTCTCCTGCCTTCTTTACACTGATATTTCATTTCTAAGCATCTTCCCAAGTTGTCGGCTTTTATCTGTTCCTGCTACTTACACAGCTCCCCAGTTTTCTCAGGCTGTGCGTTCCTCAGTGTCTTGCTCCCACTCACTTCTGAGATTAATGCTGTGTAATATTCCAGAGTTATCACATTCTGTTACTTGGAGCTCATCTTGTTCTTTCTAAAAATTGAATTTAAATTAAAGAAAAATTGAAAAGCCCGTATACCTATGTAACTGGATATTACATCTAGGATCAAGTAGCACCAGGGGGTAATAAAGGACTGGCCACGTAAGACAAAATAGTCATTTTGATACAAAAAAGGGTTCTCCACTTTATTTAGGTGTAGGCACATGATCTGTATAAGCTAACACACCTCAGCATACACTGAAAGGACTGCCTAATTAGGAGCACCCACGTTTTGATTGCCCTGCAGCTTTCCTGACAAGATCAGCAGCACAGCAGAGTGTGCACCTGCTCAAAGCCTGAAGGATGTTAGGAGGTGGAGCAAAGAGGCCATCCCGCTTCTCAGACATGCCATTGATGAGTGAGCAGCTGTAGGTAAGTCTTGCTGCAATAAGATGGTGCTATGATTCACCCTTTTGGGCTGGGAGCCAGCTTGCTCAACAGCACAGAAATCAAATTCTTGCACTGCTCAGGACACAGGCAAGGGGTAGGTAGAAAACTGGACACCTTTTGCTAGTGCATTATTGCTGAGTGTCTCAATGTATCTTCCTCTAGCACCTGGAAGGCTATGCTGAGAGATGGGCACACTGCTCATGTCTGTTCCCAGCAGGGCTGGATCTGTCCTTGCCATGCCCCATAAGCAGACCAGCAGAGTACAGCAGCTGACTTCACCAAGCATCAGTAGAGTAGGCACTTTCTACCCAAATTTGTACTTCCCCTCAAAACAGATGTTGCTTCTCTGCCTTTCAATGGAGTAAATGCAATGAAGCACTACAATGGTAGTTAAAAATGTACTTCCCTACTACGTCATAGAAGGGTGGGCTAATAAAGATGACTAACCAGTGCTTCAAAGGGGGGGAAATGAGTTCCCCAGCAGAGCAAATTAGGTGACATGTCATTACTAACTGTTCATGCAGCAGCCCAGAGGGTACAGGGCAGTTTGCAAACAGGTCTCCTGATCTGCAGAGTACAATGCACTATTAGGTGATTCAGAATGAGGTTTTCCCTTCTAGGAAGCGTAGTTTCTGTGGGCTGGAGCTGATGAAATCTCCTTTGCTCCATACCTTTTCTGGTCAATGCTTGTATGGACAAAGCTCTCTTCTGTGCCTTTCTGGAAAAGGAATAAGTTGCCTTATTCCTGCACCTGTTGAACTCAGCTGCCAGCCAGTTTGTTGAAACAAACTGAGAACTTCTAAACTCTGGCTGGCTCAAGCGTCCAACAAAGAGGTCAAAAAGGAGAGAAGCATTCTGTGCTCTGCAGAATGCTGGGATATTTGCCAAGATCAAGTACAGTTTTTTCTCTAGCCAGTCAAGGGACACAGAATCTTTTCCAGACGCTGTTGTCCAATTCAGAACAGTTGGCCAAAAGCAATATTATGGAGGAATCCACTCTGGTCTGAATTTGGATTTTATTTTTAGTCAGACTGTCTGTCCTTCTCTGCAAGGAAGAAAATATCATGCAGTTCATGCTCACGCATCCACAGAAATATTACTTACACACTGCGATAAGAGCAATGCCCACCACTGATCCTCCTTCAGTTTGATGCACAGTCACAGTATCTATCATCTGTTTGTATGGCGTCCAATTCATTGCAGTGTGTGGAAACCTCAATGTCCTGGCAGTGGGGCTCACTCCCCAGCACCGTTTGCCCCAGTCTGGCTTCTGCAGAAGGTCACTTTTCTGCCACCAGGGTCAGGGGGAAAGCAGCATCAAGCAGCAGACCTTCCCCTCTGCTGTCCTGGTCCTGCCTGATCTCCTCCTTGGCACCAGACTTCTCTGCAGAAAAACTTCTTCAGTGTTGCAGCAAGCAAGGACCCACCATCTATTTTGGCAGTCATTTCTGCTGCTTGCCTGTCACTAATTTCTTCATGTTGGTAAATTTAAAGAATGGGCTTGCAGAAGCAATAGGAGAAAAACAAAAACACTTAGTTTTCTATGTGAAGTCCCTTGAAGTGTGTCACATGATCCCAATGAAGTCTATAATCCCAGGGCTTTTTGATGGCCAAAGCTTTCCTCCAGTGCAACATCATATCCTAGCACTAATTGCATTCAACCTTCACTTTCATCCACAGATACCATTCCTACTCCTTTCTCCCCCTTGCCCTCAGTCCAGACCCTGGGTTCATTCCTCTCTGAACAATATTAGGAAAACCAGCTGGCTGCCTGGCTGCCCCAGGCTGCCCTGGAAGACCAGTGCTTTAGGCCAGCTCAGTGTCATTCAGAAATATAATGAAGGTCTCCATAGAAACAGTTTCAAGACAGATTACCTGGACTCACAGAGGTGCAGTGCTCTGGTCACAAACTTATTCTGCTTAGGGAAAATCTGAGCAAAATAGCAGCAGGTGGGATGCTGCTACTCAAAACTACTATAAAGCCCAGTCTGAGGCTTTTGTCATGCACACCTTGTCCAGGTACTAGCTTTCTAATTGCTTTCTTCTTATAAATGGGTCTATCATTTGTACAAGCTCATAGAGAATGACAAGCTTATCATAACCTCCTTGCACAGGCATCCAACAGATGCAGAGTGGCAATTTCCCATGACTGCTGAGGCTCAGTGACAGATCTCTGTGCCCATTGCTCTCAGTGACGCTACATCTCATTTAACAGATCAGACCACAGATGAAGGAGAGAGTTTCAGTACAAGAACTTTGGGCATCACCTGGACTTTTTGCTCAAAATCTGGGCTACACCCAATCTTTTAGGATGCAGAAGAAATAATTTTATTTCTGCTTACAAACCAGAATGCATAGCCTCCTGTTTCATTCCTCAGTAATACATTAATTGCATGTGCAGCCATTTGCAGACTGCTATAAACTTCCTATTTTTCTAATGCAGTGCAATAGAATTATCTAAAGGTTCAACTGAGATGATAGATTGAATTCTCTATGTAAAAGCTTTCACAGTGAAGTAAGACTGAACCCAGAAAGCCAAGCAGCTGAACAAGTCCACAGTGTCTCAGCTGCAGCTGGATGAGTTGCAGCATTGGGATGGCACTCAGACACCAGTGCCTGCATGCAGGCAAGCTCCCAGGAGCAGACGTGCTGAGCCCAGAGAGAAAGCACTGCTGCCAGATGCACACAGTGGCATCAAGGAGCTGCCAGCATTTGCCAGAGCCAGGCTGTTCTCTACTGCTGCTGATTTGGTGTCCAGTTGGCTGAAGTACCAGGCACATCGGTCCCATGTGGGACAGGAGGTTACCTTCAACAAGGTAAGATTGCAGACAAACTAGGTGTTACCTAAACTCTCTATCAGCATTAGATAAATGGATCTTGCAAACCCAGGAAGCAAGAAGACAGTTTTATTCTCACCTCACATGAGTTTATAGACCCAACAGTATTACAGCATATACAAAAATTGCCATCATTTAAAATTATATAATGCCTATAATCATATGAATCTCATTCCTTATTACTACCTACTTCTAGAAGGCACCAGTTTAATTGAGGACTGCACATAGCTTTGGGAACCCTAGAAGACTAACACCTACAGGGAATTGGATCTGGCATCCAAAAACATTGAGCAAGGCTGCTGACAGATGGCCAAGGTGAAGACGACATAGGTTTCTGAAGCTGAGATCTCTCAGACATATAGGTCTGCACTAAATCAGCCAGAAAACCCGCCCCTGCCACTTTTCTGCCTCTCTTTGATGGGTTACTGCAGACACAGCAGGGTTGTTCTCATCACCAGGGCAGACAAACCCTTTCTCCTTACCCTGGACCCTCTCCCCAGCGAGGTGCAGCACCCTAGCTGCTGAGCTGCCACTCTCTGCACATGCAGTGGGGACTGCTGCTGGCAATTCCACTCATTCCACCCCTGCCTCAGCCCCAGTGACACATGGAGAGTCACATCCTCCCTCCCTGCTTGTGAGCCAGAATTACCTGCAAACCTTATGTTCCTACCACAAAGCTTCCTTCCTCAGCAGGCTGGAGGCAGGAAGTACTGCCTTGGGTGCTGCTTACAGAGCATGCACACATCTAAATACACTCAGATGAGTGTATCCTCAGCCGTTTCCTGTTCAGGAAGCTGCTCAAGAATTACCCTACTTCTTACTTGGCTCCTTGCCACATCCCTATGTGACATCACAGCAACAAGCCTAAACTTTCCCAGCTTGCAAAATTGGATTCAATCATACTTGCCTGGTTTCATGCATGACTTTACTAAACACTAAGCATTCAGCTTACAGCAGATACAATAATTAAAGCTAACAAAGTGCATTGCTAAGGCATGGTGATCTAATAGGAAAAGATGTGGTGCTCTGCACCAGCTTTTATGTTCTCAGCCTGAAGGCACTGTATTTCTCATCTTTCCAGGAACCATGACACCATCAGAGATAGGGGACAGAGTTGAGAGAAGCCCAGGTTTAGTGACTCCCCTGAAATACAACCGGCAGCTTCCTAAGTGAAGCAGCAAAGGAGGTTTGGCAGAGAGCATTTTGGAGCCTTGCAGAGGCTCATGAGGGAGCAGGGAAGGTTTCTGGGTCACGGAAACACAGGAGAGAGACAACTGTCAGAGATCTTTTGGAAAGGCTCGGGAAGGAAGTGGGAGTGCAGCTTCCTACTCAGGACAGCAAAATTTGACCGCTGTTCAGTTTTCCTATGACTCAAATGGTATTTCTTAAAGCAGCATCAGAAGAATCTGATGACTAAAAATATTCAATTGCTAAACCAGAGGACTTATGCTGTACTAGAGGATGCATCCTTCTCTTGAGGATAAGTTGGTACAAGCACCAAGGGGATGAGATAGGACTTCCAGGGTTACCCCATCACATCTACAGTTCCCATGCAGGGTGTTTTCTAGTATATAGAGAAGATGACTATGATAAAGGCAACTTCTGTAACTGTATTATTATCTACATGAATGACATTTCTAAGGGATCTATATACTCAATGGCAAAATTTGTTTCAGCCCTCAGATGAAAAGAGGATTCAAAAAAGAAAAAGAGATGAAAAGAGAACCTTTAGCAGAGACCACACAACTTCCCTGAATTAATTTCACTTGAACACATCATTTGGAAAAGCATCCCATGGACCTTCCTTCCTTCCCTTTGCTGTTCAGCTCTTTCCTGCCAGACTGAAGACACCTACGAGGGCACATTCCTGACACAGGAGCACTGGTACCGACTCACTCTCCAAGCCAGTGGTCATGTTCCACTTTAATTATGTACTTTTTTTTTTTAAAAAAAAAAAAACTCATCTGTGTTTTCCCAAAGCAAATATCTAAATGAAAACTAAATTTGAAGTATGTTTTTAAAGTACGTTAGTACTTTATCTTTCCTATCAAAATTATAATCTCAACAAAGAAAAGGTCTCCAATTGGTTTGACATTTTTAATTGTCATTTATTTGTTGCCCTTTTTAACTAAAGAATATTATTTGGCTGTTTCATTATTTTATGTGGACTTGAAGGTCATAAATGGAAAGCTCATTTATTCTTTTTAAATATTAGTAAAAACCCCATCTTGCTTCCACTTTTTTTTCAAACATCTCCTCAGTGCTACAAATCAACACTTTCACTTCTATGGTTTCTGTTCAAAAGCCTTTTAGGCTACTTTTAGACCAAAATAACCCCCATATTTCCTTCCTATCTTGCAGCATCGCACAGTCAACAAAGTACAGTTGGAAAGAGTATCATAGTAAGATAGCAAAGGAACAAACATAGAAGGAATGCTCACCTATAAGAGAAGATTTAGGCTCACAATGAAAAGCTCCCCAAAGGAAGGATCTCCAGAAAATGATCCTTCCCTAGTGTTAGTCAGCCCTTAAATGGGGTCTAGGAGAGGTGGAGCCAGTTTTCCAGTCACACGGCTGAACTGCCTTCACCTGTGCTCCCACGGCTGACCCAGTCCTTGCCTCAGGTGATCAATCAGTGGTTCAGGCTGGGACACAAGCATTTATATCATCATAGAATCATAGAATCACAGAATCACAAGGTTGGAAACGACCTGCAAGATCATCTAGTCCAACCACCCTCCCATTCCTAATAGTACCACAAGCACTAAACCATATCTTGTAGCTCCTCATCCAGGCGCCTCTTGAACATAACCAGGGATGGCAACTCCACCACCTCCCTGGGCAGCCATTCCAGTGCCTGACCACCCTTTGAGAGAAAAAGTTTCTCCTAATATCCAACCTAAACCTCCTCTGGTACAACTTCTGGCCATTTCCTCGGGTCCTACTATTTGCCTGGGAGAAGAGGCCAGACCCTTTTGCACCACAGCCCCCCTTCAGGAAGTTGTAGAATGCAATGAGGTCTCCCCTGAGCCTCCTCTTCTCCAGACTGAACAATCCCAGCTCCCTCAGCCACTCCTCATAAGACTTGTGCTCCAGACCTCTCACCAGTTTCGTTGCCCTTCTCTGGACACGTTCCAGGGCCTCAATGTCTTTCTTGTAGTGAGGGGCCCAAAACTGAACACAGTACTTGAGGTGCGGCCTCGCCAGTGCTGAGTAGAGGGTGATGATCACCTCCCTGCTCCTGCTGGCCACACTATTTCTAATGCAGGCCAGGATGCTGTTGGCCCTCTTGGCCACCTGGGCACACTGTGGGCTCATGTTCAGCCGAGCATCAACCAACACCCCCAGGTCCCTTTCCTCTTCACAGTCATCCAACCACTCGTCCCCAAGCCTGTAACGCTGCATGGGGTTGTTGTGGCCAAAGTGCAGAACCCGACACTTGGCCTTGTTAAACCTCATCGCATTCACCTCAGCCCAGCGATCCAGCTTATCTAGATCCCTCTGCAGGGCCTCCCTGCCCTCAGGCAGTTTGACACAACCTCCCAACTTGGTGTCATCTGCAAACTTACTCAGGGTACACTCAATCCCTTCATCTAAGTTGTCAATGAAGATATTAAACAGGATGGGCCCCAGTACCAACCCCTGGGGGACACCACTTGTAACAGGTCTCCAGCTGGACTTCACTCCATTGACCACCACCCGTTGAGCACGGCCCTCCAACCAGTTCCTTATCCAACAGATAATTTAGGATCATTTAGCTTTCTCTCTTCATCATCCTCAATCCTTTCCCCTTACCAGAAACTGTGCTGTGTATTGGTCTGATAACACTGTTAGAATTAGTTTTGTCCTAAAGTACATTTAATAAAACCTCAACAAAGAAAAGCCTTCTTTTCTTTACTAGGCTTATGGCTCAGGCTGATTTTCTCTTTGAATTTACCTATTTGCCATGTTTCAGCTGATGGCTGTAGGGGCCATCTTTGTGTTGGGGACATGTCCCTTCCCCAGGGAGTGCCTGTCCACCACCTCAGAGGGGGAAGGCAGTCAACAGATGCAGGAGATAGCCACACCAGGAAAGGGAGGAGCCCGGGGTCAGAAAACTTCAAGCTAACTCAGCCCCTTTTAGTTAAAAAGAAGCAGACCTGCTAAGGAATAGCAAATTAGTAACCAGTCTCTGACACTGTTTGTCTTTCTTCTGATGGATGAGCCATTTTCCCCCTTCTCTTTCAGACTAATACTTGGCTATACTTTCCTTTTAATGAGCTTTTGGAGCAAAGCCCAAAATGGATCAAAGACCTTGGGCTTAAGAGGAAAAGGAGGACACATAAACCAAATGCTTGTGATTTTTCTCTTTTTCTTTACAAACATGCAGCTTTCATTATTGAGGTTAATGTCAACAAAGAGGCTTTGTGCTTTGTTTCAGGAGCAGAGGGTGACCTGGCTGCCATTTTACTAGTGATGGATTTCAAGCAGCAGGCAGGTGTCAGAGAGACCTCTGGAGAGGGTAGAGAAAGGGTGACTGCTGCAGATAGGCAGCACTTGCCTTTCTGAGACAACGTAGCCCTGCCTGCACAAACACAGCTGCCCTCAGGGGAAGAACTGGGAGAAGATGAATGGGTGCTTTTCTACTTGTTTAGTGACATGAGAACCTTGGTCTCAAGGTGGCAAGAAATTGCAGCTGTCAGGAGATAAAAGAGCAAAGCAGGCAAGGTAGGAGGAATCATGTAAAATCTCCATCCTTCCTTCCCCATGTCTCTCAAGTGTGATAAAGTCCACCACTGATAGTAGACAGCTTTGAAATCAATGGGTGAGAAGCTCCCCCACTGCCCGGAGCTGTTGTTCTCTGAAAGCCTAGTACAGAGTACAGACCTAAAAAGAGGAAACAAATAATTCTGCAACGTTAAAGCCATCAGGACTTAGCTGCTACACTTGACCCATTTTCTCCCTGTTGTAAAAGAAAGCTTTACCAGGTATTTGGAAACTTCTGCTTGCTTACATGCCTACCATAAAAGAGAGCTAAATGAGAACAACTAGTAGGCTGAATGAAGCTGGGGAAGTACAGGAGAGAAAAGATACAGATCATCCAGCAGAAGCAGCAATAGCTGCTGTAAAGAGCCCTCCACACACCCCCCCCTCCTCCCCCCCCATCTTCTCCCCCCCTCTTCTCCCCTCACCCCTCCTCTCCCCCTCCCAAAAAAACCCAAAACAGTAGCCACTGAAGGATGGAGGATGACTGTGCCTGGTGGTGCAGGGCCAGGAGAGAGGTGCAGCTCCCCAGCTTAGTAGATTGCAGGGATCCACAGGACCTCCCATGATCACAGCTGCTGAGCTGCTGGGACAAAGATGCCTGGGACAAATGGTAAAGAGAGCCCAGGTGTGCTCTGGAGCAATGGGAACCACGGGCAACTGCTGGGCAGATAATCACCTGCCCCCAGATGCCACAAGGCCTTTCCTGTGGGGTTCAGACAGCAGTAAGACCATTCCTAGCACAGCAAAAGCCAAGCATTTTTTAATCAGGCTTTAGCATGTTTGGGGTTTTTTTGTTTTTTTTTGTTTTTGTTTTTTGTTGTTTGTTTGTTTGTTTGTTTTTTGCTGTCAGTAGCTCTCCTGCTTTCTGAAATTCCCCCTGATGTGGAGTTCCTGTGATGCTCTGAATGGTATATTGCGAACTGTGGGAGGAAAATACTGCTATTGCAATGCAGGATTTTATCTCCAGGAGATTTCTCACAAGAGGCAGTTGCCCTTCACCAAGTACATTTTGTGTATTAGTCCCCAAGTGTGAATGAGCAAGAGCAGCTCATGGTTTCTGGCAGCCCCTCGGTGCACTGCCCTGCTTGTCATACACTTGCAACACCTCTGTTACACAGAGCTGCCTGTGGCATACTCCAAATGGCAACTCGGGACGATGGGATTAGCTGTATGGAGCACACTCCTACAGAAAACAAAGAGGCGGCCAAGCTTATTTGTTGGTGACTGTGTGCAAAGCTCTGGAACATGCACGTGTTGTTCTCTGCATTTTCTACCTTTAAAATGTCTCATCCCAGTCATCCATGTTCAGTTTCAATCCTCCCATTGGTGGGGAAAGGGATGACATAGACTTATACGTATATGTAATTCTTTTTCTCCTCGTTTAGTTCTCTCAGGATAAAATAGAGCCATTTGATTTGGAAGCATAGATCTAATTCTGATTTACAAATCTCCTTTTACCCTCAAAATGTGGTGAGATGAAGGATTAAAACAAAATGTTAACAACCTCATATCTGCACTCTTCAAATATTAGCTATGCCAAGTATCTAAACGCAGAAGAAACTTAATGAAGTTCCATAACACGTGGGGTGTGAAACACACCCAGGAGTAACACAGCAGGCACTAATGGGCATTCCCCAGAGCTTCTGACTCATGGATGTGTTTGGTACTATTTCTGTAGGGCAACCAGCAAGAGAAGGAAGATGGCCACTAGCAGAGGTGTCTGCAGAAGTCAGTAATGTCAGAATAGTGGAGAGTGGCTAATGAAGCATCTCATTTCAGAAATGACAAAGGCAGACTCCAGGGAAGTGCAGTAATGACCTACATAGAGCAAAAGGATATAACACAAAGGCTTGGAGAGGTGAGGCCAGCCAGGATGAGGCTGAGAAATTCTTAGAGCAGCACAAGAAGATGGTATCTGTATAAAACAGGATGCAATTAAGCAAAGGAAAGCATCCTCTTTACTGTGAGATAAACACCCAAAATGCACTCTCGGATGTGCTAATAGCTGATGTTCTATTGTCATATTAAAAACATACTAATACAAAAATACTGATACAATTTAGAACTATGTTGAGAATTCAGGTCAACCACAATGAAAAAAACACAACAGTTTTTGGCAATCCAAAATGGGGGTAATTTTTCTGTGTGAATTCAAAGAAACAAAAGTGGCAGAATGTTTTGTTTGAGCCTTCAAAACAGTATAGAAAATTTCTGAATGAAGAACTGCTTCCAATAAAAAGGATATTTAAAAGCATCTCAAAAAAAAAAAAAAAAAAACTTATATTTTAAAAGGCTTTTTCAGGATTCCTTCCTACTGAAGAAATCTGGGCAAATTGAGGCTGGTTTACAAAATGTGCTCATTTACTTCGTTCTACATATTCTAGGAAAAGCTGCAGCCCACAGCTGTTCCTAGAGTTGACACTGCCTACTGCAGCACCCAAAGCAAAAATGAAGTATCTTGTCTCCCTTGAGTGAATTATTGTGAAAAAATCACAGAGCCCACATGTGAAGGTTTAAGTAACAAGAGAAGTGGAGGAAAATGTTGTGGCAGGAGAAGAACTCATCCTATGGCAGAGGTAGAAGAAGGAGCCCTGTGCCAGATTACCAGTGCCCTGGCTTGCAGAAGGAATGTGAAGCAAGAGAGTTAAGGCAGAAACAAGTACTTCTTTCTTTCTCCTCTTCCACTATGAAATAGCAACTTCTAAAAAAGGGGTGCTGCAGATGGTAAAGTCTTAAATTATC